ACCCCTTGACTTAGCTTGTTACCGGGGGAGCTAAGCACCAGGACTGAATTTGTGCACTTGATTGCTGGCAAACAAAGGAGTCCAAGAGTACCTGTCCATGTTCAGCCAAAGAAAGAAACCAGGTTGATTCAAGAAATTCTAAGTTTATTTGGCAAGTGCTCATAGAAGGAAACAGTGGTGTTTGCCATCTCCAAACTGCGTCAAAAACAGTGAAAGTCAAGCAAGTTTTACCTTAAACTATGTGACAGAAGCAAGGTTTTACAATGGTCACAGGAAGAGATTAGCAGGTTTTTGGTTTATTTTTTACAATGTCACAGAACACAACTGATACGCTTAAGGAGGAAGGTTTTGAAATGATCATTAGGAAATTATACTGACATTTCTCTAAGGGGCATTAGACCATCATCCCTTGAAGCTTCATGCACCCTTGTTTATCGAAAGTTGGGTGATACGTCCATGCCTGGCTTTACCAGACTGCCATGCCTGAGGCCTCTCAAGGGGAATGCTTTGTGCCTTGCTATTTATCTTAAAGCCTCCTTCCGGAGTGAAGACATCCCTACTGATTAACCTCAAATTTTTACTGCAAGGGAGGAGGTTGTTACACTTGGATATTTTAACAAACAAAATTTCAAATTATGATATGTTTTACTATTTTTGCTTAACCCTTTCACAATTACCTCTATCACACTTACTTCGGTATAACCCTTTCACACTTACCTCGGTATCTGTCCCTGTTTCTTTTTCTCAGCCACTTTGAACCCCTCTCCATGGCCAGCCTGGTGATATTGAGAACCAGAGACCTCTCTAAAGGTAGCAGGGTGTGCACCATCTGTTTCAATACTACCCAGAGTTGAGCAACTGGGGAGTGACTCTGAGCAGAGCCCCACATTGGGCACCAAATGTGTTACCTCTGTTTTAGGGTACAAAAGAGACCCCAATCTCTAATATAAGTTAAGTAGAACATTTACTAAGTCTTAAAGGAGACAAAAATAACATAAAGACACAGACACATCATCTGGATAAGGGAAACCATTAGCACGAGGTCAAAACGGTGTCTGAGGAGTCAAGCCGGGATGCCAGATAAATAGGGCATGGAACAAAGGGAAATGTCACAAATTCACGACTGATGGCAGATCAATACATCATAGTTACAGGTGGGACTACAGAAGCAGGCCCAGATCCAGGATTGGGATGCGTTCATTGTTAGGTAGAAGGGCTTACAAGATTGGTCCAGGGTCCTCTGTTTCTGATGGATCATTTATCTTGACTTTCATGTACCAAATAATCTTGAATATATAGATTAACATATGCAAATCTAACATGATTTATGGGAAACAGAACCAGTAAGTGTGTTTGTGTGCAAACTCTAGACATTCATACATTAAGGAGTCTGGGAGGCCAAGATTCCCTTTGAGGAAACTTCACGTTCATGGGTTAGAGATACATCCCATTCACATCCTCCTAAGTAAAAGTCATCATTCCCCTCAAAGTCCGCACCCCCATAATAATGCCAATTTTAAGGTGTTAATTGCAAGTACATGGCTGCTACTATATATGCTTGAAGGTCAACTGCTTGAAGGCTATCTGCCTGAAAGGTGTCTGCCATCAAAGGCAGACCCTATTGTCTGTCCCACTCCTTTCTGATAAGGATAATGGATCATTCCCCCTGGAGAAGAGCTCAAAGACACCTAAGGTCAAGCCAACTCAAGCAAGACCAAGGCTGCCATCTTGACTCTAGAACCCGCCATCTTTCTACATGTGTGACTTCCTACCACATGTATGGCTTCACTACCACCCCTTCCTATTATGTGTACACTCCTAGCTCCTGTCACATGTGTGTCTCTTGTACAACCCCTTCTTGTTAGCTATGTGCTTACCGTGGCTTGCTTGCCCAAGATTACATGAGTCTGTGAGTCAATAAAACACGGTCTCATTCTGGTTCCGGTCATCATGGAAAGAGGTGAGCCCTTGCATGCTTTATCTTGTCTGATGTTTCTTTAATTTATCCCTCAACTACACAACCACTCCTTGGACCCACTCAGTTGTGGGAAGGCTGTTCCCTCACTATGATTAATGAGGTAAAACAAATAAAAAACATAATACTAAGGGGAGGAAATATTAAAGAACTAGAGGATAGTTATGTGGTTCATCAGAGCCACACCGCACCCTAGATTTATCATCCCTTCCATGTGACCCTTCTGTGAGGGCCTGTCCAATTAATTTACAGGTGGGTTTTGGGTCTCCACTACATCCATGCCCCTTTACATCGATTTGGTTGTTTGTTTTTGAACTTCTGATACCTCTTCTCGTCCACACATCATGATCATAAAGGCTAGTGTGCTCTTACATGTGGATTTTGTTACTTCCCTGCTAGATGGTCACTTGTTTAACTACAAGCTTTTAAGATCCCAGACATTATATCTTTTAATAGCTGGGCACCATCAACTTTCTTCACCACATTTGCTTATGTACCCATTTTGTCTTTAGTGATCATATCAGGAAGGTGAATATCCTACAGTGGCACATTATTAGAACAAACTGTTCTTGTACTATGGTAAGATTTAAGGAGAGGCCCAAAGTCCATCTGCTTCCTTGTTGCATTTGCATATATATTCATATATAAACAAACACACACAGATATATAATTATATACATATATTATTATGTTTTCTTCTTTCCTCTTTTTTTTCTCCTTCTGCCCCACTATTATGTTTACCCATCATTCTGCTCATGTCTGATCAATTGAAGTATATCTGAGAGGAATTACTAAGAGGTGAATGATGTTTATATGTATATATACATAAACTTTATATAAATTTTGAGCTCACACTTAACCATGAGTCCTAATCTAACAACAACTAGTTCTTAAGATAAAGTCCTGCTTGATACACTCATGAAGGGATCACTGAAGATATGGGTGTTATAGCAAAGTGTGGTGAAGAAATCATATGGTGCCTGGATATCAGAAAGAATAACAGCTGGAGTCTTAAAAACTTGTCTTAAACAAGCAGACATCTAAGAGAGGTATCAGCTAAATCCACACAGAAACAGACCAGCCTCTGTGATCCAATAATTTTAAATAATAAAATCCAGAATCAGAGGAATTGTATTAGAGCTTAAATTCTGGCCACTGGGTTTTCAGAAAGCTATGGACAACCGTGAAAGCTCAAAATCCATTTGCAGAACCCTCCTGGGGATTAAGTCGCCATTCAACTCTCTTAGATTATTGAACCAGGGAATGTGAAAAGCCTTGCTCTCCGACAGAGTGCATCAGAAAGTAAATTAATGCAGGCATGGTTCAAATTTAACATTTTATCATTTGTTTTCCCTTTTGACCACTTTCCAATTGGCTCTAGCTTTTATTCTTTTCTGTTTTCTTTTGGCTTGAAGTTTTTCTGTTTTATCTTGTTACTATTGTTGAGTTTTGGGTTTTTTTTGATGGTATGATTGTCTTTATATGAAACCCAGAATAGGTAAATCTATAGGGACAGTAAGTATATTAATAGTTGCTTAGGGCTATTGCAGTGAATTTGAGAGGACATAGGTAACTAATGAGTACCAGAATGAAGAAAAGGTTCTAAAATTAATTGTGATGATGACGGCAAAATTCTTTTTCATTGAATTGTATGGTATGCGAATCATATGTCAATACAACTGTGTTTTGTTTTGTTTTAAATTATTATACTGTCATACATCAAAGGACGAAAATGTGGAGGCAGTTGAGGGTAAAATCCAGCGACTGGAGTCAGACAGCAGTGTATGGCTTTTCTGAGTAGTGTAGCACTTCCCCATCATGCTTGGCTTTAGGGGCATTGCTAAGGGGTGAGGGCTGATCTTTTCCTGGTGTTCCTATTCTATTCTGTTCTTCCTTAACCTCAAAGAACCATTCGAATGTGTACCAGTGGACATTCACCAGAGTCATTGGGGGATACAAAGCATTAAAAACATTGCCTGGTAACTGAAAGGCTGGGATTCAATTCTACTCAGAGACCCCTGGAAGAAATGCCTAACAATTTACTTCCAAAATATCAGCCACTGAAAACCCTATGGAGCCCAGTTCTATGCTGGCACATGTTAGGTCACCATGAATCATGGTCAACTTGATGGCAGGTGGTAATTTGGACATGTACCAGCACCCTGAGTAGGGCCAGAACATAGTTTAGAATCAGACGTGTGCTTTAAGTTCATGTGGCTTGTTGAAGTGTCTATAGACCCCAAGAGCTAAGTCCAGGCAGTAGATCGGAGACCTCAGTCCAGGGCAAGCCATCCCAGCCTTTGATAAAGTCTTGATTTAAGGGTTTCTGGGGGCTGCCTGTGTGGGTAAAATGGTACCAGTTTCTCTGTGCTTCCCTGTCCTCCTGTGTGGCTGTGCCCTGGAGGGAAAGCAGGGAGAGTGGTTACGTGCATCCAATCAATTCTGAAACAAATAACGCGGGCTTAAGAAGGCAGCAGGCCATTTCAAATATATTTAATGGGGGGAGGGTGCATAATTTTTAAAAAGTATATAAAGAATAAAATAAAAATATTAAAACGAAATTAAATACAAATTAGACCCCCAAAACATCAAACTGGAATAAAAACTTATTTTACAAAGGTAACACAAGTAGTTAAATGGAGAACAAGTCACCAAATGTTGACTGATTCAGGCCTAGGCTCTTCTGGCACAGACCCTTGGGAGGCCTTACTCTGCTCTTGTGAGCCCAGGACACCCTTGCTTGAGCTACTGGCCAAGATCTGGTGTGCCACCAGGGAGACTGCATGAGTTAGTACCCATTGGGACCAGCTAACTCAAGGCCCTGTGAGGTTGGTAAGGATTCCTCAGGCCCAGTGGCTCAGAGAAGGGT